ACACACACCATAGCACCTAACATGACAATGTTCTGCGTGAAATAATTTTATTCTAGTACTATTTTTCACCCTCTTACGGCCCGCTTTGAATAATTTTAAAAGTCATATCTTTTTTGTTGAATTCTATTATTTACTGTCTTTCTAAAAGTATGTTGCCTTTATTCTTAAGAGTCCTAGCATACTTACACCATGGCTGCCAGTTTTCATGCAATAACACATTTACAGAAAGTTGTAGCCCTACCATATTTCATTCAAGCTTGCTTTTTATCGTACAACAATTCATAGAATTGGATTTTCTTATCAACATTTACCTTTTGAGTTACGTTGAATTGTTCTGGGAGAGTGGGGGGGGTGGCACAGTCAGCTTTCATGGTGAGCAGTTTTACATGCTTGAAACTGTGTCTTGCTTAAATCAAGCTTTTCAAGGCAAGTTTTGAGGTATCCATCTAAATTGCCATGCAGTCCCTAAATCAGCCTTAAAAGAACACGTTTAGAAATATTTTTGATGGAAAAAAACATTGTAGGAGCTCCTACACTTCTCAAACTGATTTCTCAAGGTACCAATATTCAGGCCAAGAAGAAATTTGATTAGTGGGACTTAAATACCCTCCTCGCTCCTCAGAGTGCTGTCCTTCAAAAGGGTATATCAGAAAAGGAAGCCTTATTTCTAAAAGTGAATTGCCTAGATGTCCGTTAGCCTGAATGGGCGCAATCTGTCTGGCTGCTTCCTTTTTAGATTTCAAATATCCAAAGAGTCAGGGAAGAGGTGGGTCCTATTTCTAAAATTTCGTTGGACAGATGCCTCTCCCTACTTCCCAAAAACAGGAAGCATGAGATGTTTTCTTAAGCATTTTCTAGAGTTTATTTAAAGTAAAAAGCAGCTAATTAAAAAGAAAGCAGAAGGGAATATTAGCGCAAAGAAAAGTCTCTGAAAGTAGTTCAGTTCCACTTTAGTTCTGTTTGGTATTATCAGAATATATTAACAATGATTGTAGGATGTGGCTATTATTTCACCGTGTCTCATATCTATATAGTTCAATGGCCCAAGTTTAAAAGTTAAAAAACAATTTATAATATTATATTTCCCAAATATGATGTATCATAGACATTTTTCTTTTAATTTTGCACAGTTATGGAGGTGATGCTCTCTTCCTTAAAATTATACTGCTAGCAAATGATCAGTTGAAAAGTGTTTACTGAAAAACTACTTCCCTTTATCAATATTTTGAATGAGAAAATATTGCATGATGAGGTACATTATTTGCCATTTTGTAAGAACAAATTTCCAAAAATGAATAAAATGGTGTCAGAATTCCATTACTTAGCAAATCAAAAACAATTTATTTTGCTAATGTGGCAGGCTCATGGTTTCACTGTAATTTCACCTCCACCCCACCCATAATGTGATGCAGGGGAAGGAAAATAGTGCACAAGATAAATTGCACTCTTATTGTATAAACTGTATAATAAGTGAAGAATTTAAAAAAAAATAAAGATATGTTAATTGCATTTTAATTCATAGAGAACAATATTAAAAGCATGTATTTTGTGTTAGATATAACAGGATAATTCAGGCTACTTTTGTTATCATTTGAAAGTAGAAAGTTGTTCTGCTCAGCAGTCACATTTATTTTAGTTGGATGAACAACATAAAATGCATAAATGCAAAATTCTTCATTGTTCCTCAAAAGCTGTTGTAATCATGAATACCCATACATTGTGGGGAAGAACTCAAAATAGGTTCGGGCTTGAGAAAGGAATTTTTCATCCACATTATTTGTGATATTCTAGCAGTAAGTCTTTGCACATCTGCTGCATCTCTAAGCACTACTCCTTCTGGTGTATTTTTCCCCATGATTGTTTTTTAACAAAATATATTAATATAAAAGGTATAGAGCCAATTTCATCAAAGGATTATAATGAAGAACAATTTGTTTCATTTTTATCATACTTGTATATCTTTTATTACTTTTTCCAGTTAATACCAGTCAGTTTTTTGTTGCAATATTTTAAACATTAATTTTATTAGGAAAAGATGTGACATAAAGGATAGTCTAAATACTTTATTTTTCCTTGGCAATTTGAAAGTATCTAATAAACAAAATTAATTGTAAACCATATATAATCATCTAGCCTAGACCAAGTGAGCAATTTGGTTTAATTTCTTTTTTGCAAAGGAATTTCATATATGGCTGCCATCTCTTTCCCCTAGAGCAGTGTTTCTCAACCTTGACGACTTTAAGTCCTGTGGACTTCAACTCCCAGAATTCCCCAGTCAGCTGTGCTGGCTGGGGAATTCTGGGA